CCGCCCCACCCACTACCCTGACCCTCTGCAGCCCGAGGCTGACCCCGACTACGACTCAGCGTCCGATGAGGATAGTTCACCACTCGACTGATCTAAACAAATGAGGTCATCAACAATCAGCTCAACAGCATCCTATGTAGTACTTGCGATAAGAGCACGCGTACTGAAAGCCAGCAAGTAAGTGCTATGTCCAGCGAGATGTCATATTCCCTACAGGCCTGAAAAATGAATCTTTCCCCACCCAAAACAACCTGAAGATACTCCTACCAGTCGATCCTTCATCTCGCGTATGCAGACGTTAAATTGATAGTTGAATTGATCGGGAGCATGCGGTCCACCCTAAAACCACATACTTATACCATACCATCACAACATCCACTATTGCTCACTGGGGGTAACGCTAGCCTCGACCGATGTGCTGACAACTCTGCTGCTAAACTCGCCATGTGCCGCTGTTGGAGATTAGCTGAGGACCACACACTAGCATCCACCGATAAAAGCCCCACTACTACTCGCTGCCGTTTTGACTGCTGCACGATCCTTTTCTCTTTGTGATTCTCTTTCGCTTCGCTCCGCCGGAGACAGTTTCGAATTAACCGCATACTGAAACCACAATGGTGATGATGGGCTCTTGTACGAGGCTGCTCACCAGAAGGTCAGTGAGGAAGTCTGTTTGTACTACCATTACTCTCAGAAGCTCCGCGAAGCACTCGACTGAAAATACATACATTTTCTCATACCACTCTTCCCTCAACACACACGAGAATACATCCCCACACTACCTGTGTCCTCATGTAAGCTAGAGCTGCTGTCCCTCAATGCCGTCGCCAACAACGACATGAGCGTACCAACCTTATGCAACTTCGCCTCTTGCGAAATACTATCATCTCGTAAAATTCTAATCGCCGAATCCACAAAGGCCTGTGGCCACTTATATCTACACCCAACTTAACAAGATCGACCAAGACACTCGTAATCAATACAGCTTATATCCTCTAACCGAGAGCAGCTCCGAATCGTTAGAGGGGTCCTCACTATAAAACTGCGTGTGCCGGGCATGGTGCTGGTGATTAAAATGAGCCACTTGCTTCACCAACGTTAGTATCTGGTAGCGCAAATTCTGATAAAAAAAGTATGAAATTCCAATCCTCCTTACCGGGTGACCATACGTCATATGTCCCCAACATGGAGGTAGTTTATCACTGACCGCCGCCTCGGCAACTTTTTCCATACCCCCACACTCCACGAACAGGCATGAGCTGTCGAGGCCGTCCAAAACTCTATCCACGACGTACCTGGCAGCAGTGGTGTTGGTGATCCGGTAAGAAGTCATTTTACACTTTTTCTATCAGAATGTGCGCCTCTAGATATCAATGCGTTAGTGACAATCTGGATAATGTTTATAGATTATCATTTATAAACACTTTGATGAAATTTCGCTGAGTTCTCGCACTGCTTCCCATACACTTCTACCCGAATTCGTATGTAAACTTCTAGTGAGGAAGCTCCTGAACTCAGCTGAGGAAAGCGATTACATATACTCCTCCAACGCGTTAGTCGTGAAATATGTTTTTCACTAGTGTTTTTCATATCACTAGGGTGAAGGAACTCCAGTGTGGTGGGAAAATATGCACATGGTCAACTACATGTGTTGGTGACAATATGAAAATTCTGACAAAATTTTCCTGAATTCTTGTACAGTTTTCTATACACTTCTACCCGAATTCGTATATAAACTTCTATAATTAGCCTTGGAAACTCCCGAGCTCAGCTGCGGGAAAGCGAACACATATTCCTACTCCAACACTGCTGAGCGACTACCCCTAAACTCACCGGCAAGCGTTGGCGAATTCGTCAATATATGTGTTGTGGACGAAATCGATGTACACCGGTTCCCCTTGGTAGTTCTGAGGGCCTATAGGCTCCGACCGAGCCATATCATCTGCTACTGAGCGCAGCACGTCATCAGTCCAGGTTCGGGCAGCATCTGAACCATACCACACTTGCGCCTCCTCATGACATGTGGAAAGTTGGTATTCCGAAAATTACAGCAGAAAATGCATAAATTTCTACTACTATCACTACTGCTACTGCCAATTCAGTCGGAGAAAATCATCGAAAAATATGAATAATTTCCCACAATTTTACATAAAGTTTTCCTATCCGCCTCAGCTCACATTGTTGAGTAAAAAGAAATAAATTTCAAAATAGCATAAAAACTACTTCCCACATAACCAACCTTCGTTATTATTATAATAGTCATTGATCATCCCAAGCATCTTCACCGAGTTGACTATAGTTTTCCTATGAGTTCTCTCATTCTCCGCTGTCTCCTCTCTAAGGGTGGTCATAATCTGCTCAGCCAGGGACACTCCACGGTGTCTGGCCGACTCTACCACTGCTGGTGTTATCTCTGCCATTCTTGTTGGATTTGAATCCATGGTAATATCAACAACAATGGGAATTTACAAATAATACTAATAGTGTAAAAATTGGAAACATTTTGTCCTAAAAAAGAGAACGCCCACGAGCTGGGGAATACTCCCAAGAGTTATTTTTCAACCACAACACACTAACATCGAAAGTAAACTGTATTCATTCTTCTCACAAAAAAGGAGGGCGAGACAAAATCTAACAAGTAAAAATTGGGAATATTTTGTCCCGTAAAAGAATATTCACATCTAAGGAGCGATTTTTTTTTCTTGAGAAAATTGAAAAAATCTGCGTTTTTGGTTAACGAATGAGAGTTTTGAGCTGAAGCTTCAACAGAGCATAGATATGATGATTAGCCATTGTATACTAGAATGAAACTATAATATTCGTAATTGCGACTGAGATATGAGGCCGAACGAGAAAATCACCATCAGACCTTCACACAATACATGGTATCAGTACATAGCATATTATATATACTTGGAGTTTCACCACCCTAGTGATATGAAAAACACTAGTGAAAAATATATTACTACTGCATATCACCGCGAATATCGCCTAGTTTTTCACCGAGTTTTACGACGCCACTTCACGTAAAACGGGTTGTGAAACTCCGATGCAATTACATCTACAGTATCACCCGTATGAGCAGCAACCGAGTTGAGAGCTACTCCAATTCGCAACTTTTTAACTACAACATAGTAGCATCGGAAACTAATTGCACTTATTCTCACCACAGGAAAGAACACACTCCCCGGTTTCACCTATTCGAGACTCACTCGATGGTTTCTCACCTTACGTAGACAAGCCTGAAACTAAGAAGAAGAGATGCATTCGTCTTTGGCATTCCTAGGGTTTCAGCAAAACTCCAAAACACACTTGAAGGGCCTCGATTCTGAATTCAACTGAGTAAGAGCCCATCTTGCTAAATCTTGCTCTCTTGCATTTCCTCAACGCACATTTCCGCGGCGACGGTCGCTGCACCTACGGGGTGATGTACTAAATCCAAGGAAGACAAGTTGAAGGGTAAACCCGAAACCCGACAAGGCAACCAGAAACCCGAACTGTTATACACATGAAATCTGTTATCAAAACAACTAGAAACCCAAACTGCTAAGTGCGAGCGACAAACCTCCTTTGGTTTTTGTCGTACCTGGATTTTGTAATTTTCCCTGCACTTACGTGATATGAAGATATGAACATAGTTGAAATCAGGTTATTGCTATCAGGCCTCTTAGTATGCTATTCCTCGCCAACAGATTTCTGAGTATTTTGCTTTACTCTTACTGGGTCGAAGCCGTTGAAATTTCTCATCAGGTAGGGTATATAATTCTTCATACCACATTTCTCGCGATTCGTGATGATTTCTCAGGGCTTTTTCGGTGATCTCTTCGGAGGTCTTTGGAGTGACAGTAAGAAAGTTGCCACCAAGGTTCTGCGTGAAGATTCGGGCAAATTCCGAGATGAGCTCGTTGACTCTGGAGATGCCCTCAAGAGTACTCTTCTAAGTAGGGATAGCAAATCTCTAGTTAGGACTACTTTTCTGAATCAGGGCATGGACGTAACGCAGTGGGATCGCTGGGAAGGGTAGGGCGTATCTTTGAATATCTTGAGGTCCAAATGTGACCATTATCAGGCTTTCAAGGATACATGGTCATCGGCGTTAGACAGTGGCGAGGGTAAGAAAGTTTGTAATGTGATGATCACATTTACATGGGAAACTGATTGAAGAATGTGTTCCTAGCCATACGTGGAAAATTCAAAATGAGTTCATCCCGAGAAACATTATAGGTTCCTGGATGATACTGTTGTTTTTTTGAAATTCTTTTCTGGGCTGCTACGGTCACCGACCCATCCAGCTTTGAGAAATAACGTCACTCGAGGTTTGATAACAAAATGAAAATGAAAACGTTCCTAATGCGATGATGACATTTGCATGGGAAACTGATTGAAGAATGTGTTCCTAGCCGTACGTGAAAAATCAATCATAGTTATGGGTGCCTGATTTCTCTCCTTGGAATATTTGGGAAATTTAGCGCACACAGAGCGCGGACATTTTCAGTGTTAGAAAATTTCACACCTTTTCCCGAGCCACCTCTGTATTATCAACAGGGAGCAATTTGAAATTCCGTCACGCGCCACGAAATTATCGAGTCGAAGTGGAGTTTTCACAACCTTCCCAGGATTGAGTTTTGCATGAATTTGGTATTATATGATTTCAGATTATCTAGATAATGCTGTTGAAGCGGGTAGAGGTAGTACATGTCGCTAATCGTGAGTGTGCATCCTAGTGCTCTCAGGTGTAGCGACTAATGCGGGTGTGGGTATTGCTAGGGGGATGGCCAGGGCGAGGGACAGAGCAGGTGGGGTTAACTTGAGGAATATATGTTTGCTTTCTTCACCTGAGTTTGCGATTCTATGTATGCAAATTTCCAGAAGAATTTCCCAAAATTTCCTCGAAATTTCGTGATTTTGCCGATTGACCATATGCATATTTTTCCACCCAGCGCTAGAGGTAACCGATCACTGGAGTTTCACGACCCGTCTTACGTGAAGTGGCGTCTTAATACTCTGTGAAAAACTCGATATTCGCGGTGATATGCAGTAGTCGTAAAATATATTTTTCACTAGTGTTTTTGTTCATATCAGTAGGGTGGTGAAACTCCAGTAAAGCAGGCAGAATAGACAACAAAATCCCAATTTCTCATCCACAAATCACAAGGGCCGTATACAAGTACTATGACGTTTTTATATTCTACTTATTCGATACTCCAACGATTATCAATACAGGGCAGTAGACCACATTTTGATAGCAATGAATATAAATATATATATCATACCACATTTCCCCCGAATTCAATTGTCAGCTTCCACCAGTGAGCGCCTCCGAGAGCAAGCTGATAGACTTAATGCTATTCCTTCTACTATCGATATGATCCACAGAGGCGCTCGCAATAGCATACGTGCTGGCCTGAACTCAAGGAGCCCCTGGAATGGTTATAATGTAGTTCAATAGGAAATTCGATGAGGGTAGATGCTGTTGTGATGGTAGGAGAATTACTTCCCGCGTTCACGCCGCTCGGCCGTCCATGATTTCTTTGGGGTGGGTGGTGAATGAAAACGTCACGCGCCACGAAATTGGGTGTTTTAGGTGGATGATGATTTGTGGTAAAGATATCTCTCATGTGATCCTGCTGCTACTTGTCATGTTATGAACATTTCTAAGGTGTTTAGTTTTTAATGGTAGTCGTGGTTTACATGAGATTGATTGGTGAGCCCTAACAAAATGCCAGTTGGTGCAAAGGTTTTAATTAGCATGATATGAATCTCGGCCGGAAGTTATGGAGCGCTCAAACATGTATGGGTTGCGCAGTTTCATCTCAATCAGCTG